CAGCTGGCTGGGGAATTGTGGGAGTTGAAGTCCACTCATCTTAAAGTGGCCAAGTTTGGACAACACTGCCTTACAGAGATGTGCTGTTATGCCCAGATTGGGGGTGGGGGGGAACCCTGTGTTGGTGGGTGCCTTTTTATACTAAGCGTTACAGGTGTTATTCCTGAGATGGATTCTGCCTTATATTTCCATTTCTGTTAGCAGGCGAAAAAAGAAAGCTACCCTGTGTAGCCTATTGTATTAATTTCTCATGTTTTTCTTGCTAGCTGTCTTTCTCCCCCTACTTTCTTTTTTAAAATTATTGGAAAAGGAATCTATGGCATTCTACATTTGGACCATTTGATTGTTTTTCTTATTTTGGAATTGGTGTATATCATGCAGCCTTGCAGACATAATGTCTTGTGTGTACATATATATATTAAATCAGTGTTTAAATAAAAACAGGCCTATGTACGTAATCCGTTAACGCAGCAGCAGCATTTGGTAGATAGTAATTAACTGTGAATAATAAATATACAACGAATTCTTCACTTGAATATCGGTGTCTTTTTTATTAACTTACTGAGTCATTGGCACATTTAAAGAATCAGTGGGGGTTCAGTACAGTAACGTGCTGGAGATTATACTGTCCTCCCAGAAATGGGAAGGACTAGATCGAAGACTAACTTCGATTTAAATGAGAGTTGTTATGCTAGCTTCCCATGTAACTGCTTTCCCTTTGAAGCAGATAAACGAAGTAGGGAAAGCATGCCAAGCATAACTTCTTGAATTCCTTCCAACCTGCTTACCAGTTGTAGCCTTTGGGGACACCTGCATTTTCTTCTATGTAATGAAGTAACATGTTTCAGGTGCCTTTGTGCACTCTCTCACCAGGGACTAATTTGGGCATGGCATGTGTGTTGTCTCTGGGTGTGCATCTCTGTTGGAGCTGGGTGGCTACAAATGTGTTGCCCGTGTGGGTGTTTCCACTCTGTTGCATTGGTGCCCCTGCACTGAGGCAGAGGGTGTGCTGCATGCGTCTCAGGTCACGGGACTGGGAAGGAGAAGGAAGATGGCCTTAGAACAGAGCACTCAGCAACCCTCGAAGCTGCTGCCCATTGTCTGTCTCCCCAAGGGGGCACTGGAAAGGGGGCGTTGCTGGGTTGTGTTTATTTCTCCAGTCCCTGGACTGGTCTGGCTCATTATCGGACTCAGTCTTTCTTTTGCCAGTTCCTTCATGCATGTGCACACCAATGCACACAGCAAACTTGGTCGTTTCTGCTTTCAGAGTTAATCCTGCTGACAAAGTCTTGAGCCCTTTCACATAATTTCACTCTGATGTTCTGCTGAGTTGGAAAGAATAAAAAATGCAGTTTGGCGGCAACTTTTGACAAGGCGGGCTCTAGGCAAAGGCTGAGGAGGCGCCGGCCTAGGGGTGCCAAATTTTAGGGGGCTCCAAAATTTCCAACAAACACAATAAGAAAGCAAAAAGCAGTAACAGCGCACTCTGTGAGCCAGCGCATTCACTCAAGGGCTAAATACAGTTTTGCAGAATTGATGCCATATGACCACAATGGGTGCTAATGTAATTTACTGTGGTAAATATGGTGAAATTGTTGGAGAAAAGAAAAAAAATTGTCCAGGGCTAAAAATCATATGTGTAAAGATGAAAAATTCAAAGAAAAGAAAAGGGCACCTTTTTGAAATTCCTGACAAAATTGGAAGATGAGCCAAACCATAGGGGGTGCCACAATATGACTTTGCCTAGAGCACCAAAATGTCTCGAGCTGGTCCTCATTTTTCCATTCTTCATCCAGCGAAAATCTCAGTTTGCTTAATTTGAATTTCTAGTGCACTTGGTGCTAAATCTAAGTAGCAGCTAAAAGATCAAGACAAATGTGTAAAAGAATGCAGTAGCAAGGGTGATGCTAAAATTTATATTATGGTATTACAGTCTTTTCCTTGTAAAAATATTGCAGAGCTTAAAGCAATAGTTAACTCCATGCGGCTAGTAAATTAATGCATGGCTGTTTTTATCAAATAAGCCAGAAGAGTTGAAAAGCAAAGTAATTATGGCTTGTTTAGCCAACTTTTTTTTTGCCCTCCTTTTCTAGCTTCTTGTCATTCTTCCCTCCTTGCAGTCTAGACTAGAAATAGTTACTCTAACGATAAGAATGAAAGCTCTCTGATTACTACTATTAGTAAGAAGGAAGCTGCTAATGGGTATTGATATATTAAAAACATCTCCAAAATGGCCCCCTGTAACTGTGGCAGAAGTTAAAAGAATAATTGCACAGCAGACAGCTGGTAAAGCCCCGGGAGAGGACATGTTACCTCCAGAAATCTTTAAGGTGTTTCCCGATTGGCGGGCCCCTCGTCTCGCCTCTTTGTTTACCTATATCAACGCCACTGGTCGATTACCTGTAGGTTGGAATAATAGTGTAGTAATCCCAATGTATAAAAAGGGAGATACTAGAAATCCAGCTAATTTTTGACCTATAAGTCTTATTGACATAGGGTGCAAGCTATATACAAGATACAAGAATAAGAAGGAAGCTTAAGATTACAACATAAAATTCCACCAAATACTGTATTTCAAATTAGAAAACATTATCCAGACATTCTCATTGGTACACTGATGAATGTAACAAAAATTATCTATTTTCAAATAGCCTAAAATGATGTCTGATTTGTTGTTCTACCTTATTTCATCATGGTAAATCAAAAACAAATCAAGTTGCTTAGTATAATATGTAATAACGGTCTGTGGTCCATTTCATGTTCTACTAAGCCATAGCTTGTTTACTACACCAAAGCTGGACTCACACAATGTGATAAATTGTGTGATAAACCAACTTCATAGCTCATAGTAAATGAAGTGGTCTTCCCCACTTCCCAACAATTATGTTCAAAACTGCAATGGAAGGCATGTGCAAGGAGGATACTGGAATGGAGGATCAAGGTTATCAGGAGCAAGGGAGAGGATTCCTGAGCAAGCACTTCCTCAGCCCGCAGCAGGACCATGAGAAGGTGAAGCAGCTGAGACTGGCCCCTCCCTAGAGTCTCGTGGGGTATAGCCACTAGTTGCTTTAGCATAGGTTTAGCCTGGCGAGATTCTGTCTATTAGGTGCAAGCTAATAAAGGAACTATACTGGACTGGACCGCCTCGTTGTCGTTCTTGGGCTGGGCCTGACAAAAACTCTCTACCCCACTACAACACACCTGGTTGAATATTTATGCTATAAAATGTGCCCAATAAACCCTTAATCTAGAATAGTTTGGGTTAAGCTGACATAGAGCCAGACAACAATATCAGTTGGAAGCCATTCATATGGCTGCGTCAGTCATTGTCTTCCTAAAATAAATGAAATTGGGAAATGTTCATGCTAACGGAAGAGGATTTATATTTTCTTGTTTATGCGAAATACCAGTGAGGAAAGCAGGCCAGATTTTGGTATAACAAAATTAGCTGTCAAACTGTTCAGTATTTGTTGTCTTCTTTTTTTAGTGCTTAGTTCTACAGCTCTATAGTTTCTTCATGCTTTTTTCCAGAGCAATTCTTTGCTGCTGCTTGGTTTCTCGTAAGTTTTGAAAGTGACTTTGCTGGAAAGAAGAGGCACTTTAGCAGTTTTATTGAATGCATAGAACTTTCTATTTTGATAGAAACTTGTAATACTTAAGGACCAGTTTTGGAGGACATAGGCATTATCGATTACAGACCTTCGGGGAAACATGTACAGTGTTGTTCAGTCTGGGGATTGCTTTTTCTCAGTTAATCTTGTGTTGAAGGCTTTAATATCACTGCTACAATTTTGACAGAATGGCATAGAAATTAAAAGTGTACCTTTCTTGAGCCCTATCCCATTTTTTGTCCAATTAAAATTATTGTTTGTTCTCAAAATAACCAGTATTGCACAGTATGTAGTAATTAAGGTAAAATTCTTGACTCTATTATTATGTTCTTACAATATGTTTAATTCAACCAGTTTTCTGAATTTCCACAATGCATCTAATCACACAGATAGGTTTGCACAACACATGGCTAAAAGGGGGTTGGTCCATTTGTGATTTTACAGGTCTTTAAACCTTTAAACTTTTTCGAGATTCAAAACAATCACAATTTTGAGTTCAAGAAATGGGGTTATAACCTTGGGTAAAAGTACCAGTTTCTGTACTTCCAGGTAACAGCTATTTTAGTTTTGGATGACCCAGTGGTTGTGTTTACATTATTAGTTGCAAATTAGCCAATCACATTTTAGCATGTATGTTATGCACACTCACCCCATGTACTTAGTTTATGGTTCAGTGTGCCATGCAGACCTAAGCAATGGGATTAACCGAGGAAACCATGCTCTCCAAATTTCAGATGGGCCCATCAGACGAAGAAGTTGGAGAGGCTTGTTGTCTGCCTGATTTCAATTTTTTAAAAAAGAAGCTCTTAATTTGGCATCATTAAAAATGGGATTTATACTTTTTTATGCCTCACCTCACCCCAATTCTAGAAATGCTGCAGGAATATTAAAAGATGGGGGCAAAATTCCTTCGAAACAGCTTTTCCAATTCACTTGATGGCCTGTTACGAATGTGATCTTTGCTGGGTTCTGCTTGCAA